TAGATCAGTGTTAATAACTTGTATCAGAATGAACCGGTCCACCTAACATAGATCAGTGTTTAATACTTAGTATCAGAATGAACGGTCCACCTAACATAGATCAGTGTTATAATAGAACTTTAAAGTATCATAATGAACCGGTCCACCTAACATAGATCAGTTTAATAACTTAGTATCAGAATGAACCGGTCCACCTACATAGATCGTTTATACTTAGTAATCAGAATAAACCGGTCACCTAACATAGATCAGTGTTTAATAACTTAGTATCAGAATGAACCGGTCCACCTAACATAGATCAGTGTTTAATAACTTAGTATCAGAATGAACCGGTCCACCTAACATAGATCAGTGTTTAATAACTTAACCCTATCTCTATGTCATCAGGTATAACACATTCTATGATCCAATCACATGCAACTGACCATCAATATGAACAGCCCTTCTAGAAAGCGTGTCACGTTGTTTGGTCCTAACTGCTAGGAACGCAAGCATTTCGCTACACCCGCAATAACATCTGCAAAATATATGTATGTGAACAATAACATGTGATTTGAACTGTCTCCTCTGGTCCTCAGATATTACCGTGGGGCGGTGGGGGCTCTGCTGGTCTATGACATCGCCAAGCACCTGACCTATGAAAACGTGGCGCGTTGGCTGAAGGAGCTGAGAGACCATGCAGACAGCAACATCGTCATCATGCTGGTCGGCAACAAGAGTGACCTGCGCCACCTCAGGGCTGTGCCCACCGACGGGGCGCGGGCATTCGCAGGTCAGTACAGAACCAACCTGGTCTGGTTTCAGATGTATTTGCGCAGGTCTGGCATCAGGCTAGTACCAACCGTGCCTCCGAACTCCCACAGAAAGAGGTCTAGGAGTAGTGGTGTTAACCTTTTCCTTACCCATGAGTGGCTGTTAGTGATCATGGTTTGCTTATCCACTTACTGTAGTGTAATAGGAAGACGTCTCTGTAATGTAATAGGAAGGCGTCTCTGTAATGTAATAGGAAGACGTCTCTGTAATGTAATAGGAAGGCGTCTCTGTAATGTAATAGGAAGACGTCTCTGTAATGTAATAGGAAAGGGGGGGGACGTCTCTGTAGTGTAATAGGAAGACGTCTCTGTAATGTAATAGGAAGACGTCTCTGTATGTAATAGGAAGACGTCTCTGTAATGTAATATGGACGACGTTCTCTGTAATGTAATAGGAAGACGTCTCTGTAATGTAATAGGAAGACGTCTCTGTAATGTAATAGGAAGACGTCTCTGTATGTAATAGGAAGACGTTCTCTGTAAGTTGTAATAGGCAAGACGTCTCTGTAGTGTAATAGGAAGACGTCTCTGTAGTGTAATCGGAAGACTTCTCTGTAGTGTAATAGGAAGACGTCTCTGTAATGTAATAGGAAGACGTCTCTTAATGTAATAGGAAGACGTCTCTGTAATGTAATAGGAAGACGTCTCTGTAATGTAATAGGAAGACGTCTCAATGTAATAGGAAGACGTCTCTGTAATGTAATAGGAGACGTCTTCTTAATGTAATAGGAAGACGTCTCTGTAATGTAATAGGAAGACGTCTCTGTATGTAATAGGAAGAACGTTCTCTGTATTGTATAGGAGAGTCTCTGTAATGATAGGAAGACGTCTCTGTAATGTAATAGGAAGACGTTCTACTGTAATGTAATAGGAAGACGTCTCTGTAATGTAATAGGAACACGTCTCCTGTAATGTATAGGAACACGTCTCTGTAATGTAATAGGAAGACGTCTCTGTAGTGTAATAGGAAGACGTCTCTGTAGTGTAATAGGAAGACGTCTCTGTAGTGTAATAGGAAGACGTCTCTGTAATGTAATTGAAGACGTCTCTAATGTAATAGGAAGACGTCTCTGTAATGTAATAGGAAGACGTCTCTGTAATGTAATAGGAAGACGTCTCTGTAATGTAATAGGAAGAACGTCTCTGTAATGTAATAGGAAGACTTCTCTGTAATGTAATAGGAAGACGTCTCTGTAATGTAATAGGAGACGTCTTCTGTAATGTAATAGGAAAGACGTCTCTGTAATGTAATAGGAAGACGTCTCTGTAATGTAATAGGAAGACGTCTCTGTAATGTAATAGGAAGACGTCTCTGTAATGTAATAGGAAGACGTCTCTGTAATGTAATAGGAATACGTCTCTGTAATGTATAGGAAGACGTCTCTGTAATTTAATAGGAAGACGTCTCTGTAGTGTAATAGAAGACGTCTCGTAGTGTAAATAGGAAGACGTCTCTGTAGTGTAATAGGAAACGTCTCTGTAGTGTAATAGGAAGACGTCTCTGTAAGGTTAATAGGAAGACGTCTCTGTAATGTAATAGGAAGACGTCTCTGTAATGTAATAGGAAGACGTCTCTGTAATGTAATAGGAAGACGTCTCTGTAATGTAATAGGAAGACGTCTCTGTAATGTAATAGGAAGACGTCTCTGTAATGTAATAGGAAGACGTCTCTGTAATGTAATAGGAAGACGTCTCTGTAATGTAATAGGAAGACGTCTCTGTAATGTAATAGGAAGACGTCTCTGTAATGTAATAGGAAGACGTCTCTGTAATGTAATAGGAAGACGTCTCTGTAATGTAATAGGAAGACGTCTCTGTAATGTAATAGGAAGACGTCTCTGTAATGTAATAGGAAGACGTCTCTGTAATGTAATAGGAAGACGTCTCTGTAATGTAATAGGAAGACGTCTCTGTAATGGAAGAGGAAGACGTCTCTGTAATGGAAGAGGACGATGTCTTAAAGATTTGCATAATGGTAGAGACCTCAACGCAGTAGTGATTGACATGGTTTACTGTTTCCCTCTGTCCCTCAGAGAAGAACGGTTTGTCTTTCCTGGAGACTTCAGCCCTGGACTCTACTAACGTGGAGACATCCTTCCAGACCATTCTGACTGGTGAGTGGTCCTCTCTTGCTCTGTCTGTGTGTGCATTGATTGATTCTGTGATATAAGGTTGAATAAAGTCATTATATTTGAAATGGGCTGTATTGTTTTATGGCACAGGGTTTAGGGGGGCCAGAGAAAGAGAGACCAGACCAGTGGTTGTGTGTTAGGGTGATTATCTCCACTGGGCCAGGGGCCAATGGTCTTCCAGAATACCTAATCACAGCTGAGAGACAGGGGCCAATGGTCTTCCAGAATACCTAATCACAGCTGAGAGACAGGGGCCAATGGTCTTCCAGAATACCTAATCACAGCTGAGAGACAGGGGCCAATGGTCTTCCAGAATACCTAATCACAGCTGAGAGACAGGGGCCAATGGTCTTCCAGAATACCTAATCACAGCTGAGAGACAGGGGCCAATGGTCTTCCAGAATACCTAATCACAGCTGAGAGACAGGGGCCAATGGTCTTCCAGAATGCCTAATCACAGCTGAGGGCCAGATGGTCTTCCTGAATACCTAATCACAGCTGAGGGCCAGATGGTCTTCCTGAATACCTAGTCACAGCTGAGGGCCGGGGGCCAGATTGTCTTCCTGAATACCTAATCACAGCTGAGGGCCAGATGGACTTCCTGAATACCTAGTCACAGCTGAGGGCCAGATGGTTTTCCTGAATACCTAGTCACAGCTGAGGGCCAGATGGTTTTCCTGAATACCTAATCACAGCTGAGGGCCAGATGGTCTTCCTGAATACCTAATCACAGCTGAGAGACAGGGGCCAGATGGTCTTCCTGAATACCTAATCACAGCTGAGAGACAGGGGCCAGATGGTCTTCCTGAATACCTAATCACAGCTGAGAGACAGGGGCCAGATGGTCTTCCTGAATACCTAATCACAGCTGAGGGCCGGGGGCCAGATGGTCTTCCTGAATACCTAGTCACAGCTGAGAGACAGGGGCCAGATGGTCTTCCTGAATACCTAGTCACAGCTGAGAGACAGGGGCCAGATGGTCTTCCTGAATACCTAATCACAGCTGAGAGACAGGGGCCAGATGGTCTTCCTGAATACCTAGTCACAGCTGAGAGACAGGGGCCAGATGGTTCCTTCCTGAATACCTAGTCACAGCTGAGAGATAGGGGCCAGATGGTCTTCCTGAATACCTAGTCACAGCTGAGAGACAGGGGCCAGATGGTCTTCCTGAATACCTAGTCACAGCTGAGAGACAGGGGCCAGATGGTCTTCCTGAATACCTAGTCACAGCTGAGAGACAGGGGCCAGATGGTCTTCCTGAATACCTAATCACAGCTGAGAGACAGGGGCCAGATGGTCTTCCTGAATACCTAGTCACAGCTGAGAGACAGGGGCCAGATGGTCTTCCTGAATACCTAGTCACAGCTGAGAGACAGGGGCCAGATGGTCTTCCTGAATACCTAGTCACAGCTGAGAGACAGGGGCCCAGATGGTCTTTCCTGAATACCTAGTCACAGCTGAGAGACAGGGGCCAGATGGTCTTCCTGAATACCTAGTCACAGCTGAGAGACAGGGGCCAGATGGTCTTGATGAGGTCTGATGTGAGGCTCCTCCAGAAGTCCACTTCCTCTAACTAACAAGACGTGACTATAATACAGAACCAGCCCAGAGTTCTTTCCTTAATCATCATCTTAGCGTGATTCCTTCCATCCGATCTCCTCGCCTCCTTCTCAAAACCCATTGGAGTAGATCGTCAGAAGGGAGGGTCCTTGGATCTTCTCCTCCAATACGATTGCGAAGGAGGCAAGTAATGAGGAATCAAGAAAAGACAATAGAGAAGGAGCCTTGGTCCACTGCTCTGCTCTGCTGTGGACCAACTCCCTTCCTCTGGTCCCTGCCCTGCCTGCACTAAGACTCACAGTGTAGTCAAACAATAAATGTTTCAAAGGGAAAGCTATCCGATTCTATCTAGTGATTGTGTTAGATAAGCTTCCTGTTTAAACTGTGAGTAAAGTACTGCAGCAACATGGTAATCTCCCCCCTGTCTGTCTCCCTCTCTCCCACCTGTCTCTCTCCCTCTCCCCCCTGTCTGTCTCCCTCTCCCCCCTGTCTGTCTCCCTCTCTCTCTCCCCTGTCTGTCTCCCTATCTCTCCTGTCTGTCTCCCTATCTCTCCTGTCTGTCTCCCTATCTCTCTCCCCTGTCTGTCCTCCCTCTCTCTCTCTCTCTCTCCCCTGTCTGTCTCCCTCTCTCTCTCTCTCTCTCCCCTGTCTGTCTCTCTCTCTCTCTCTCCCCTGTCTGTCTCCCTCTCTCCCACCTGTCTGTCTCCCTCTCTCTCTCCCCTGTCTGTCTCCCTCTCTCTCTCCCCTGTCTTTCTCCCTCTCTCCTCCTGTCTGTCTCCCTCTCTCCCCTGTCTGTCTCCCTCTCTCCTCCTGTCTGTCTCCCTCTTTCCTCCTGTCTGTCTCCCTCTCTCCCCTGTCGGTCTCCCTCTCTCCTCCTGTCGGTCTCCCTCTCTCCTCCTGTCGGTCTCCCTCTCTCCTCCTGTCTGTCTCCCTCTCTCCCCTGTCGGTCTCCCCTCTCTCCTCCTGTCTGTCTTCCCTCTTCCCTACTGTCGGTCTCCCTCTCTCTCCTCCTGTCTGTCTCCCTCTCTCCCCCTTGTCTGTCTCCCTCTCTCCTCCTGTCTTCCACATCCCCCTCTCTCCTCCTGTCTTGCTCCCTCTCCCCCCTGTCTGTCTCCCTCTTCCTCCTGGTCTGTCTCCCTCTCTCCTCCTGTCTTCCACATCCCCCTCTCTCCTCCTGTCTGTCTCCCTCTCCCTCCTGTCTGTCTCCCTCTCTCCTCCTGTCTGTCTCCCTCTCTCCTCCTGTCTTCCACATCCCCTTCTCTCCTCCTGTCTGTCTCCCTCTCCCCCCTGTCTGTCTCCCTCTCTCCTCCTGTCTGTCTCCTCTCTCCCTCCTGTCTCTCTCCTTCTTCTCTCCTGTCTGTCTCCCTCTCCTCCTGTCTTCCACATCCCCCTCTCTCCTCCTGTCTGTCTCCCTCTCCCCCTGTCTGTCTCCCTCTCTCCTCCTGTCTGTCTCCCTCTCTCCCTCCTGTCTCTCTCCTTCTCTCCTCCTGTCTGTCTCCCTCTCCCCCCTGTCTGTCTCCCTCTCTCCTCCTGTCTGTCTCCCTCTCTCCCTCCTGTCTGTCTCCTTCTCTCCTCCTGTCTGTCTCCCTCTCCCCCCTGTCTGTCTCCCTCTCTCCTCCTTGTCTGTCTCCCTCTCTCCTCCTGTCTTCCACATCCCCCTCCCTCCCTGCAGAAATCTATCGCATCGTGTCTCAGAAACAGATGTCGGACCGGCAAGACAACAACATGTCGCCTAGCAACAACGTGGTCAACATCCAGGTGCAGCCGACGGAGAATAAACCAAAGATGCAGTGTTGTCAGAGCATCACCTGACCCCCGACCCCTGACCCCCGACCCCCTGACCCCAAACACCTTTCACCTGACCCCTGACCCCCGACCCCCGACCCCAAACCCCCTTCTAAAAGACTGCTGTCTGAGACACAGCTGCATGGCCAGACTGTAGGCCCTATACTGCAGAGTAGAGGCTGCCTCCAGGCACTTCCTTGTCATGGATTTAAAAGCATTAGATTGTAATTATTGGCTGAAGGGAGTTTCTTTCCACAATCTTTAGGCCTAAATCCATGATGGGAAGTGTGCAAGGGAACACTTTGAGAAAAGGGTGGATAATTAGGGTGCAGCATGTATCTGAACCCGTTGGTTCCTTAAGGATCCCCAGTCAGAACCATACAGCTGTGTCTGAGCCCGTTGGTTCCTTAAGGATCCCCAGTCAGAACCATACAGCTGTGTCTGAGCCCGTTGGTTCCTTAAGGATCCCCAGTCAGAACCATACAGCTGTGTCTGAGCCCGTTGGTTCCTTAAGGATCCCCCGTCAGAACCATACAAGCTGTGTCTGAACCCGTGGGTTTCCTTAAGGATCCCCAGTCAGACCATCCTGTGTCTGAGCCCGTTGGTTCCTTAAGGATCCCCAGTCAGAACCATACAGCTGTGTCTGAGCCCGTTGGTTCCTTAAGGATCCCCAGTCAGAACCATACAGCTTGTGGGGAATACTGGAACCCGTTGGTTCCTTAAGGATCCCCAGTCAGAACCATACACTGTGTCTGAACCCGTTGGTTTCCTTAGGATCCCCAGTCAGAACCATACAGCTGTGTCTGAGCCCGTTGGTTCCTTAAGATCCCCAGTCAGAACCATAAAGCTGTGTCTGAGCCCGTTGGTTCCTTAAGGATCCCCGTCAAACCATACAGCTGTGTCTGAGCCCGTTGGTTCCTTAAGGATCCCCAGTCAGAACCATACAGCTGTGTCTGAGCCCGTTGGTTCCTTAAGGATCCCCCAGTCAGAACCATACAGCTGTCTGAACCCGTTGGTTCCTTAAGGATCCCCGGTCAGAACCATACAGCTGTGTCTGAACCCGTTGGTTCCTTAAGGATCCCCAGTCAGAACCATACAGCTGTGTCTGAGCCCGTTGGTTCCTTAAGGATCCCCAGTCAGAACCATACAGCTGTCTGAGCCCGTTGGTTCCTTAAGGATCCCCAGTCAGAACCATACAGCTGTGTCTGAGCCCGTTGGTTCCTTAAGGATCCCCAGTCAGAACCATACAGCATGTATCTGAACCCGTTGGTTCCTTAAGGATCCCCAGTCAGAACCATACAGCTGTGTCTGAACCCGTTGGTTCCTTAAGGATCCCCAGTCAGAACCATACAGCTGTGTCTAGGCCCGTTGGTTCCTTAAGGATCCCCAGTCAGAACCATACAGCTGTGTCTAGGCCCGTTGGTTCCTTAAGGATCCCCAGTCAGAACCATACAGCTGTGTCTGAGCCCGTTGGTTCCTTAAGGATCCCCAGTCAGAACCATACAGCTGTGTCTGAGCCCGTTGGTTCCTTAAGGATCCCCAGTCAGAACCATACAGCTGTGTCTGAGCCGTTGGTTTCCTTAAGGATCCCCAGTCAGAACCATACAGCTGTGTCTGAGCCCGTTGGTTCCTTAAGGATCCCCGGTCAGAACCATACAGCTGTGTCTGAGCCCGTTGGTTCCTTAAGGATCCCCAGTCAGGACTATACAGCTTTTTCTTTCTGCCGTCTTTTATATTATTATATAGCAACGTTTTAATAATCAGACAAACGCTGGACGAATCTTCACAGAAATGTCTTAATATATGATTTACCGTTTTTGTTTTTAGGTGTTTTTTATTAAATAATGTGTGGCTTGTTTTGTTCACCTGTAAGCTTAAAATGAACTGCACTGTACTCTCATTACCCTGGCTGACTGTGTTGAGTCCCAAATGGCACCCTATTCCCTATCTAGTGCACTACTTTAGACCAGGGCCCTTACCCTAACCATATGGGCCCTGGTCAAAAGTAGTGCACTATTAAAAGGAATAGCTTAAGGGAGCCTGGTGGTGTGCTGCATAACTAGAGAATGTACTCTCTCTCTGTGGTAATAATGCTATCATGCTAATGATGATAGGCTAGGGATCAGTGGTAATAATGCTAATGATGATAGGCTAGGGATCAGTGGTAATAATGCTAATGATGATAGGCTAGGATCAGTTGGTAATAATGCTAATGATGATAGGCTAGGGGATCAGTGGTAATAATGCTAATGATGATAGAGGCTAGGGGTCAGTGGTATTAAATGCTAATGATGATGATAGGCTAGGGATCAGTGGTAATAATGCTAATGATGATAGGCTAGTGATCATGGTAATAATGCTAATGAATGATAGGCTAGGGGATCAGTGTAATAATGCTAATGATGATAGGCTAGGGATCAGTGGTAATAATGCTAATGATGATAGGCTAGGGATCAGTGGTAATAATGCTAATGATGATAGGCTAGGGATCAGTGGTAATAATGCTAATGATGATAGGCTAGGGATCAGTGGTAGTAATGCTAATGATGATGATAGGCTAGGGATCAGTGGTAATAATGCTAATGAATGATAGGCTTAGGGACTCAGTGTATATGCTAATGATGATAGGCTAGGGATCAGTGGTAATAAGCTATAAATGCTAATGATGATAGGCTAGGGATCAGTGGTAATAATGCTAATGATGATAGGCTAGGGATCAGTGGTAATGATGATAGGCTAGGGATCAGTGGTAATAATGCTAATGATGATAGGCTAGGGATCAGTGGTAATAATGCTAATGATGATAGGCTAGGGATCAGTGGTAATAATGCTAATGATGAGAGGCTAGGGATCAGTGGTAGTAATGCTAATGATGATAGGCTAGGGATCAGTGGTAGTAATGCTAATGATGATAGGCTAGGGATCAGTGGTAGTAATGCTAATGATGATAGGCTAGGGATCAGTGGTAATAATGCTAATGATGATAGGCTAGGGATCAGTGCTCCTTCCCACTGAGCTCCACATAGACGACAATATCCAAGTAATCTATTATTTACAATTGTAGGGTTGCAAAATTCCTGAAACTTTACCCTAAATTCCCTTGGTTTTTTCATCAAACCTGTTTTCAAGGAATTTCTGAAATCAGGAAGGATTAACTAGGGAGGGCGTCCTCCAACTGAGATTTATGAGAATTGTGGGAATTCTGAAAAGCATGTAGCTATAGAACCACGATGTTAGCCGTGGAGAACGTTCCTTTACGTTGATAGGGTGACCGTGTTGTTGTCATGGGGATGGATGGTGGCAGAACATCTTCTTACCACTACTCATGATGCTAGCATGGTCTAGCCTGAGTCCCAGCTCTGTTTGTGCTGTCTTGCCAACTCTGTCATAATAGGAGTTGCTAAGACAGCACAAACAGATGTGGGACCAGGCTAAGCATGGTTCACCTTGGTGTCAATGGTCAGCTAATCAAGTCAAGTAATGGCACTATCTGGAGAGACCAGACTACAGCTAGACTCCCTAACATAGTGGCTGTTCAGACTGATTCATTAACAGTAGACTCCCTAAACAATAGTGGGCTGTTGCCAGACTTATTCCATTACAGCGGACTCCCTAACATAGATGGCTGTTCAGAACTGATTCACATTACAGCTAGAACTCCCTCTAACATAGTGGCTTGTTCAGATGATTCAGTTACCAGCTAGCCTCCCTACATAGTGGGCTGTTTCAGGACTGATTTCATTACAGCTTAGACTCCCTAACCATAGTGGCTGGTTCAGACTGATTCATTAGAATTCGACTCCCTAACATAGTGGCTGTTCAGACTGATTCATTAGAGCTAGACTCCCTAACATAGTGGCTGTTCAGACTGATTCATTAGGACTAGAACTCCCTAACATAGTGGCTGTTCAGACTGATTCATTACAGCTAGACTCCCTAACATAGTGGCTGTTCAGACTGATTCATTACAGCTAGACTCCCTAACATAGTGGCTGTTCAGACTGATTCATTACAGCTAGACTCCCTAACATAGTGGCGGTTCAGACTGATTCATTAGAACTCGACTCCCTAACATAGTGGCTGTTCAGACTGATTCATTACAGCTAGACTCCCTAACATAGTGGCTGTTCAGACTGATTCATTAGAACTAGACTCCCTAACATAGTGGCTGTTCAGACTGATTCATTACAGCTAGACTCCCTAACATAGTGGCTGTTCAGACTGATTCATTAGAACTCAGACTCCCTAACATAGTGGCTGTTCAGACTGATTCATTAGAGCTAGACTCCCTAACATAGTGGCTGTTCAGACTGATTCATTAGAACTCGACTCCCTAACATAGTGGCTGTTCAGACTGATTCATTACAGCTAGACTCCCTAACATAGTGGCTGTTCAGACTGATTCATTACAGCTAGACTCCCTAACATAGTGGCTGTTCAGACTGATTCATTACAGCTAGACTCCCTAACATAGTGGCTGTTCAGACTGATTCATTCAGCTAGACTCCCTAACATAGTGGCTGTTCAGACTGATTCATTAGAACTAGACTCCCTAACATAGTGGCTGTTCAGACTGATTCATTAGAACTAGACTCCCTAACATAGTGGCTGTTCAGACTGATTCATTACAGCTAGACTCCCTAACATAGTGGCTGTTCAGACTGATTCATTAGAGCTAGACTCCCTAACATAGTGGCTGTTCAGACTGATTCATTAGAACTAGACTCCCTAAAAATAGTGGCTGTTCAGACTGATTCATTACAGCTAGACTCCCTAACATAGTGGCTGTTCAGACTGATTCATTAGAGCTAGACTCCCTAACATAGTGGCTGTTCAGACTGATTCATTAGAGCTAGACTCCCTAACATAGTGGCTGTTCAGACTGATTCATTAGAGCTAGACTCCCTAACATAGTGGCTGTTCAGACTGATTCATTAGAACTAGACTCCCTAACATAGTGGCTGTTCAGACTGATTCATTAGAACTCGACTCCCTAACATAGTGGCTGT